AGAGCGAATTGACGTATTACCAAATACGAGAATTTTTATTATGTCTTCTGTCTTGTTTATTTGACATTGAATATTAAATATTAATGCAAAAATTCATTTCATTTTTATCCACTATAAATTACCTCTTTGTACTTTCAAGTGTTTTTATTTTCTGAATTTCAACTACTTGCTACAAAAATTAGGCACAATAGGTACCAGTAATCTACATTTGTATTTCAGTTATTTTATTAATACCTATTCTTAAAAATTGAGATTCTCATTGTTATATCAGCATTAATCGCTACATTACAAAATTAAAAAGTATGCGTACACAGTAAAAAAACTTACAACCGTGCTTTTCCTTTTCCCCCAAAAGTAGGAACTGTTTACATTCTCCGTAGATGTAGCTGCTTAGTTGTTACCGCAATTTCTCTGTAAGCGCCAATTCACGCCCAGAACCGGCTTCAGATTGTAACTTTAATAATTTTTATCCCTTAACCGTGTTGCTTTACTCACTATGCAACTCCCTGACGCATCTGGTTAATTTCAGAAACACCCTGTATAGATTTTTATCACTGTTCAGTTCAATCGAAGATTGGAGTACATGTACAACAATACATCTCTCTAATAAAACAAAAGAAATATCTATTAAGCAACTATGATGTCGACAGACCTTTTGAATGTCCAAAATCTCAAGAATGATTTAACTGAATTCTTTCCTTTCATTATTGTTAAATAGTCTTTGTTTGTTGTCTATATCTACCTATGCCAGATAAATTTGATATTTTTTCCAACTTTTTCCAACTTTCCTTTCAAATTGGATACCTAATTGAAACGTTCCGGAAAAAGAAGTGTTGTATCTGAATTTCACGACAAGACCAAGGCCCATTGTACATGACCAAGACAATACCCTTGAATAAGATTATTGCGTAAAGCATAGACTAAGGGATCTACAGAAACAAAATCAAGATCAAATTTGAATGTGTATGATCAGTAATAAGGCCCAGTATGTAAGGCCAAAACCAACAATGTGCAAGTCAAATATAAATGTGTAAAACCAAGATCAAGAAACCTACAAAAACAATACAAAATTGAAACCAAGTTCCTACGTCCATAATCAAAACTAGGACCAATAATGGCAGAGTCTTCACGGTGAAATTAAAAGACTTTGCCGAACGTATTGTAATGTTCGTGGGTTTAACAAAATTAACTTCTAATACTGATAACGACAAAAACTATTTATTCACACTAATTATTGAAGAACTTAAAAACACTATTAAATTATTACTAAACGTAGGTTATGAATTATTCTATTTATTTTCACTACTGTTGATATACCACTATTCACTGCGCTGTATATTCCACTTCTATCACTGTCAATTTATTTCTGAATTCATTTCTGCAACGATCAATTTATTTCTTCTCCTTATCTCTGCGATCATCTCTTCCTTTAAATACTCTTTTGTTTACTTTCTGGAACCTTCTGGAAACATCTGAATAGTTTATTTTTCCTTTGAACTGTTTAACTGCTTTCCCAGAACGCAGGTACGACACACACATTTACAAATACGGCGCACATGAAGAAAGGCGCCCGCGGCTTGTCGGCGAATCGATAAGCCGTTCACGCACACGTGTGCCCGATCACACACAAACACACTCGTGTTCGCTACAATACTCTAAAGTAAATCGTAAATAAATAATTTAAGAAAAGGGTAGAAGCGTTTGAAATGTGATGTTGTAGACGAATGATGAGGATACCGTGGTTAGATAAGGTTAGAAATGAAGAAATATTAGAACAGAGGAAATCAATAAGAAATAGGCGAGATANAAAGAGATTTATTTGAAAGCTTGTGCAAACTACCATAAGTATGCTGAGAGTAAATCCAATTAGTTGATTGAAACCACTGATAAATTTCACAGATGAAGTAATTTTGATCAATTTGTACGTGATTTGTTTAAAATTTATAGCAAATTAAATAATAAGAAAATTAGGTATACACTGCAAGTTTTGAAGTATCCAGAGCAGTAAATATTCTCAGAACATTACAGAAAGTTTATAATGAAGGATTCAAAAAAGAATTACTTAAAAAAAATAAATAATAATAAGGAAATCAATTATGTTCAATCGTACGATAACAAGAGATGGTTATAATGATAATATAAACCTGACATTAATTATCTTATAATAGTTAGTTTAAATAATGGTTATATGTTACTAACAGTTAAAACGTACGATGTCAAAATGGGGTTTTTAGAAACACCGTTTTAACACATTTACTTGTTTAGGTTATCAGGAACTTTGATTACATTTGATATTTGGTTACTACACACAATGATGGCAAATGAACAAACTAACATAAGTTACACCTATGGAGTACTGTTTAATGAAAGATTTTTTTTGTTTTCGTGGAAGAGGGGGAAGTTTAAAAAAAAAACTAAGTCGTCCATACGACTGGGTAGTGTCGGATTCCTGGGGAAAGTGTCCTCAGACCTACCGACTAAAACACCTCTATCTCAGACCGCTATAGGACCTATCGGTTAAGGTCGTCTTAAACCGGAAATGAATGAGAAAATTACGAGCTTATATACTAATAAAAAGTGTTATGACCGGTGATATTCCATAGGTAGGGGAAAAGGTCGCCAGATGTAACTCCTCCCTTAGGACAAATAGACAAAGGGGTGCTGGAGTTGTTGTCAATTCATTAAGTTCTTTAGCATTTTCTTTATTCCCTCGGTGTCGGTTTTTCTTGAGCAAAACGGATTTTATCCGTCCCTGAAATACAAGGTGGCGATTAATGTGATCAATATCACGAACGAGAGGGTCGTCATGACAGCATGTGAAGCAAAGGTCAACTGCTGTAGATGGACCAGAGTCTTCTCGATCTTCTGCAGCAATATTGGTGGTCTTGGAGATAATTGCCGAGCTTGAGAAGTTTTTCCTTTGGAATTCCTAAGATAACTGTCCCAAATTGAACATCTTCCCTCTTGATAGTGGTGGTTTCTATATCATAAACTTCTTGGTTTATTATAGTGATTTTGTCGTAATTGATTAGATAGGAACCAAAGTCGTGTTCCTTATTGTCTATATTCCAATAGTTAGTGGTGGTCATCAGCAGGGTTCTGTTTCGTAAAGCCTAGGATTTCCTCTTAATTTTAAACGTAAAAGGTGAGAGGCATGGACAATTCTGTCTTAACCTGATTATAACAGTAGTATTGGTGTTAATTCACGACAGTTTAATCGTTATACCATAGGGCCAGGGTTTCATATTTCAACATTAAAAAGATAATATTTTCTTTTATTAAACGATAAATTTTGTTTAATTGGAACTTGATAGGTTTTACAATAGAAAAGCTAATAATACACAACACAGTATCTTTTGACAAAATAATGGTCTGTTTGTTGAATTTTAATTGATGTATTGCTTCTTCTTCATCGGTAGACAGTAGTTGACTTTCTGAATAAATTTTTTGAAAATGTTTAATCATCTCGTTAATTTGGATATTAGAAATGGTTTCAACATTTGGAATATTTTCGCAGGCAAAAGTGATTGATCTTTCCAAAAGTTGCAAATAGTTCAAGAAATTACTTGCAATTTGTGTCAAATGTAATACATTTATTTCTTTTTGAAGGCTACTTGTAGCAGCACTAAACGCATTGAATGATTTACAATAATTTTCTTGAACAGTATTAATTAAATTTACATAATCTTTAGAGATATGGTGGGCCAATGACAAAAATTGATTCTGTTTTTCAATTGCTTTATTTTGATTTTCGAAAAGTTTATACATGTTAGTTTTTAATTCTTCATATTGATCTTCGTCTACTGACCCAAACAGATAATTAAGTGCATTACCTATTCCGTTAATCAATCCACGAGGGTTTCTACGGATTTTAAATTTATTAAGGGTGTCATTAATGTTGTCTACGACGGCTTCTAACGTGAAAAATATGTCAGATCTGTGTTGAAGTTCTAATAGGGTGGTTTTTGTAATTAAGTCGGTATAGGCTTCCTATGCTAAGGCAAATTTAATGGAATAAGCAAAGTTATGGTAATGGGAAAATACGAGGGTACTGCCAAAATTTTCAGATACAAAGGTAACGTTACTGTCTAATTTTATTACATCAGTCGCCTCGGGTTGTGTCAGACTGTGAAGGGTGATCAGGAATGTCTTCGTCATCCTGCAACAAAACCTCTTTTCTTACCCTTCTAATGTTACGAAGTGATATTTTCCTAATTTTTGTTCGGCCTGCTAATATTCCTTTAATTCTATCATCGTTTTGACCAATTTGGCCGTTGTTTGAAATCTAGAAGCCATTTTGGATTTGTCAGAGGTTTCAGTGTAAATTTCTTAAGGTAGTTCAGGATGTCGAGATAGTTGTTTAAATAAATGAGAGAGCATTAAGATCAATTTTCAAGTAAATCTGACCGCAAATAATATATGCTCCATTCAAACATTGCAACTCCCTACAGAGATTGAATTTTTTCACCAAATTTTAAGTAGATCGGACCAAAAAGAAAAATGTTCCATGCAATCTTTGCTAATCCCTTTCAGCTTCCCGCAGAGGTTGATTTTTTTTTTAAATATTGAAATAGATATGTATACCACTAATTTTATATGAAAGGTTTTCCCATATAAAAATACAATCCAAATTTCCGGATTACACCGTGTATTTTTCAAAAATTATCGTTCATTTCAAATTCCAATTCCAGAATCTAGATTCCTTATTTGACAAGCAGTTGTATTTGATATTGAATATATTAATTCACCTTTTATTATTTGTTTATAAATAATTTCAGACACAATTGAAAGCGTACTTAATCAGTGATGCAATTAAGTGAGTAGAAAATAAATAAGATGCTATTAGCATGTTTGACAGAGGGATCTCTTTCATACTTTAAACAAGTAATTGTAGGTAACAGTTCGCGAACTACTTCTGGAGAACTCGTTCGTTAAAAAAAAACTGTTTCATCATTGATTTATATGCGTTTCCACTAATTAAAACAGTATATATTTTTCAGGGCGTTAGCCTACGCAAGACATTCACTTTACAACGAGTGTGAACAATGTGCCACAGCTGGCTATGTTCATCTTACTGTAGGATCGGTTTACTTAGAGTTGGCTGGATTTTCCAAAGCTTTGGATAGTTTTCAACAAGCCCACAGGATAGCACAAGCTGTAAGAGATAGAGGATTAGAATTGCAGGTATGTAACAACAATCTACAAAACGCTTCAGTTTGTTATTTTTGTACAATTCGTGTGGTAACAGTTCCATGAAATTTTAAAAATAAGCTTTGGAAGAGAATGAAATATCTCTTTAATGAAAGCAAAATAAATCTATTTGAGTATTGGGAACTGATTGATTAGGTCACGACACCTGGCGGTTAGAAATTAAACTAACACTAGCATACAACAACGTTATTATTACAGACTGTTTGCCTTCATATTTAATGTTAAAATATCAATTGTTAAGAAATGAAAGAAAAAAAATGGAAGTCGGAGTATTTACACAACGTTAAAAATCTAAAAGTAGCATAATTTACCAAATGCGAAAAATTATGAGGTATTTAATATGGGATAGACATGGGAAAATAATGAAATATCTAGTGAGTGGAAGCGTGGTGTAAAAGTACCGGTGTGTAAAAAGGATAGAAGGGGTTATGTCAAAAATTAGAGGGGAATAACGATCATGGACACGGGGTGTAAAATATATACAGATATAATCAAGAGTAGGAATAGAGATGATTGTAGAAAACGATATTTTAAGCGAAACCCCGTTTTTGTTTAGACAAGGAAGAGAATAATAACGACAAACGCTTTATTAGGAAGCATATGGACAATAGGACAAAAATTATGCAGGAAAGAAGAAAATATTCAATTCGACGGTTAGAGAGACTTTATGTGACAGAAGTATGGGGGTGGAAGGAGCAGAGTTGGAAAACGTTTACAAAACATATCTAAAGTGGTTTTTGGGGTTGTACAGACATACATCGGATTATGTTGTACGGAGAGAACTAAATTTGGGTAGATGTTAAGGATGATAAAATATGAGATAAAACTAGAAAAGCTTAAGGGGTGGTGATACATGAAGGAAAAAGATATTAAAAATTGAAAACGAAAAACAAGTATGACAAAGAAAGGGGTGAAGCTTTAGACGATTTAAAGTTGAATAAAAAAACAATTGAATTAATGGGGCAGAGTGGTAGTAATGAGATTATAAGGGGAGAGGATCTAAGAAGTCGAGATATGTGGAATATATGAAGGCTCTGCCATGGGAGCATTGACAGGGAGACTGTATACAAGATTATTTAAATGAAATGAATGATGTAGACATATAGCAAGATTTAGAGTGGGAAATTAAAGTAGAAAATGTAAATATTGGATGAAGAAAGAAGAAAGGGTTTATAGGATATGTGAAAGGGGAGATGAAACAATGATGCATGTGCTGGGTGGTCTTATAGAGGTGTGTGACTAGGGTTGCCTGCAAAGACGGGAGAGGTGTAATTTTTATTATTTTTATCGTTTTTGAAGCTTTTTTTTATCTGGTTTTACTGTCCGATTAAGAACACAAATTCCTTTTTTGCTTGCCTTTATTTTTTTGTTTGTTTCTGTTTAGAAGTTTCTTTGTAAGATTTGCTTTTAGTTACATTGTACTTCCTGGTTTAAGCTCCATCTCAAATGATGTCTGTATTTTTTGATGATATTGTCGTGTATCCTCTTCTCGGGGTATTAAATAAAATTGAAGTGGATTCTTTCACAGGTAACTTTATTAAAGAATACGGTACAGAACACAACGATTTGATAAAAAAATTTAAAATAAGAGTTGTTCGTACATGTATCTGATGAGCCGCTTACATGTTTATACCGTATACCACTCACAACGTACAACTCCATTTTGCTGCTCGAGTCACTCACCCCTACTTCTACTTCTCCACTCTTGATACCCCCCGCAACACTGCGAAACCAACACAATACGTATGAATGTATATAATTAAATATTTCAATAAATATATGTTTACAATATTGTTAAAAATTATATTGTTCGTTAGCACATTCAAAACACAAACGTTTTGTAACTTTCAGCTTTTCGAATTCTTTTTCGAGACTTACCTCGCTTCAATTTAATTGCTTATGATTATAAAGTTACAATAGGAAATGACAACAATAACAAAGTGAGTGTTGCAGTCATGTTCTCCATTTTCTTTACAGGAGAGTGAACCTAACAAAAAAATTTGCGGTGGCTATACTAATCAATCATGACTTTGCCTTTTTTAAAAAATACATACATACAACCCTTCATAATAGGCACATGTCTAGTCGTACTTATGAATACCTCATTTTTCAAATTTGCTGCGAGGAATACATATATAACTATTCTATCTACTTAGCGTATCCCAGACCAAGGAAAGTTTCATTTTACTTCAGCAGTAACTTATTTCTTTCGTTATTTCTGTTTCTTGTTTTACGATTACATCCAACAAAACTTTAGAAAGTTCCATTCTTCTCTCCGGCATAAAATTCGTTCAGAAGTTTACGTAGTTTTTCTTTACTGTTTGAACTTTTTACATTATAAAATTTTTTGAACTGCTTTAGAGGTTTGGAAATTGTAGAAGCAAATTGGTAGGAAACATCAAGGTCTATCTTTCATTTTTAATGTAAAAAAAAATACTTTAACTAATAAAATATTCAGTAATTAAAATAAAATTAAATAAACGATCTTATTGAATTAAGCAGCAAAACCTTGATAACTTTTTGTACCAAGCGGTATAAAGCAATTTTCTATCTATCTATTGAAATATAAGGATGGAATTGATATAAGTACGTATAAAGAGACAATTTTTGGATTATTTAATAATCCATAACTACACGTCCGCAGCCGGAGTTACAATGCCTCTAAAATCCATCGATATTTTAACCATTTACGTAAGTGCAGCGGATTTCGTATTTTCTTTAGGTTAATTCAGTCCAAATTTGGAATTTTACGCAAGCGTAACGTAACTTGCGTTTTTGGCATTTTTATTATTTATTTAAACCACTTTGTAGTACTATTAATTTTATCCACAGCGACAACATTATCTTTATGTTCAGAAATTGAAAAGCTTTTTGTCCTAATAAAAACATACAAAATTCTGCGAAAAACAACTGTTCTGTATTTGACCATAACAACAGCATATTTTTCATAACCAAAATAGTGATAAAACACCAAACCCTAACAGAACCCTACAATAAATTGGTTACAATTGTTCATGGTTCATTTCTGTTTCCTCGATTATTTTGTTTGTTTATTTATTAACATTATTATATGCATGTAGACGTATTAAATTTTCAATTTTTACGTGAGTTAGTCATGTCGAACTATTGATGATAACAGGTGGGTAATGAAATTGACATATTTGACCGATATATTCGATAAACTCAACGTAATCAGCAGGTTCTCACAGATAAGAACCACAATCACGTTTACAGTGAGAGACAGAATCTTTTCTAATGATAAAAAAGAAATTTAGCTTCTGGATTCAAAATCTTGAACAAAAAAGTTACGAATGTTTTCCTATTCTTAACAAATTTCTCGAAGAAAATGAGTTACAACCAGTCTCAGATGTGGGTAAAATCATAAATGAACATCCCTTGAACCTTAAAAAATGGTTGAAAGAATATTTTCCAGAGAAGCTACTGATTCAAAATACATTTGCAAATCAGACTACATCATCAATATTAATTGTGTCGGTGTATGAGAACTTGATCAATGTTAAGAATTCATCTTCTTTAAAACAAAAATTAGAATCAGCTGATTCAAATATGAATGACCTTTGAATGGAACTTAAAGATGAATACCCTGCAGTCGTTGAGACGGTTATCACGGTTCCTTTTTCGGTTTGTATCGACTTACAAATTACAGACTAGCATTTCAGTTTATGCCTACATTATCATCATCATCATCATCATAAGGTCGTCAGTCCTAAGACTGGTTAGACACGTACCTCCACTCTTTCCTATCCTGAGCTAAACTTTGCATTTCCCTAGAACTAGAACAACCCACATCCTTAACTTTTGTGATAAGTAATCTAACCTAGGTCTTACTCTACCCCTCCTAACACCTGTCCTATCAACATATCTCGCCTATCTTTTATTGACTTCTATAGAGTCCTATGTTCTTTCTAATACCTCTTCTTTTCTAACCTTTTCTATCCACGTTATCCTCATCATTCGCCTATAACACATTTCAAACGTTTCTAGCCTTTTCTTNAATACCTCTTCATTTCTAACCTTTTCTACCCACGATATCCTCATCATCCGCCTATAACACCACATTTCGAACGCTTCTAACCTTTTCTTTTCCGCCGCGCCAACTGTCCATATTTCGCACCCGTACAACGCCGTGCTCCAAACATACACCTTTAACAACCTTTTCCGAATTTGTAAATTAACCGTTCGCGAGCATAGAAGTGACTTCTTTTTATTAAAGGCGACACGACCTTGCGCTATCCTCTGCTTTATATCCCTACTACTCCTTCCGTCCTGACTTATCTGACTTCTTAGCTATCTGAAATCAACTTCTTATAATTTTTCGTCTCCTATCTTTATATTCGCTCTTTCCCTACTTTTTCTTCCCTTTGTATGCCAGTAGTTTAGTTTTACATTTATTTATTTTCATACAGTAGGTACTGATCTGTCAGTACCTCTTCCATTTTATTTAAAGCTATCTCTAAGTCCTCCTTGCTAGAAGCTAATACTGCTATATCATCTGCAACTCTAAGTATACTAATTTTTTGCCCCTGTATATCTATCCCTGCAGTTGTACTGTCTTTAATGATGTTGATGGCGCCTTCGATGTATAGATGAAAAGGTAGTGGTGACAGTGTGCATCCCTGTCTGACTCCCTTCCTAATATTTACTTCTCTACGTTGCAGCCCCAGCTCTATAACTGCCTGTTGCTCTTTATACAAACTAAGTATCACTCTTCTATCTTTGTAACTCATCCCTACATTTTTAAGTATATTTAACATCTTATCCCATTTATCATTGTTAAAAGCTTTTTCTAAATCTACAAATCTTTTTCCTTTTTCTATCGTTCACTCTATTGTTACCCGTCTAGCTAGAATGGCTCCCGCGTTCCTCTATTTCTTCTAAACCCAAACTGATTTTCCCCTAATAGTTCTTCCGCCCTTTTTGCCATCCTCCTCTGTACAATTCTAGCTAAGATT